CGGACTACCATGGATATTTAACACAGGATGAACAAATAAGCACTGAAGATGTTAATGAAAGAAGATATAAATTCATTCGTGCTAAAGGTTATGACATACGCTGTACTGTACAGTATGACACAGGTAAAGCACCAGAAGCATTTGGTTATAACAATGAAATTTATGCTTCATACTTCTTTGTTAACGGTGTATTAGTTGAACCAAGATTTACTTTGAGAGTTAAGGCAAAAATAACTTTTGAAGATGCTATTAAAAGTAAAGCCAGCAAAGATGAACTTGACGCAACGAACAAAGTTTTGAAATCTCATAAACACAATATCTCCGATATAAATGAACTTCAAGCTACATTAAATAGTAAAGCTGACAAAGAACATACACATAAATCCTTCACTACTGTTAGAGCAGACGACATAATATTGAACTATACCCTTGGTTCAAGTGCACCTTTAGAGAATCCAAGTACAAGCGTAAAAGATACACTAAACTCCTTAAATAGTAAATGTATGAACATTGAAGGTCATGTCAGAAACTTTGAAACACATGAACTACCAGCAATGTTAGATAAAAAAGCAGATAAAGAACATACACATAACTCCTTCTCAACTGTTGCTATAGAAAGTATTGAAGGAACGGTTGGCGGAACTGGTGGGGATGCATTATATTATAAACCTCCTAACTTTCCACAAGGTTTAACATCGAATGAAAACATAACAACGAAGAAAGAAATTAGCTGTAAAAATGTTTATGTCATGGATGATGAAAATAATGTTAAATTCACTGCTCAAGATTTATATGATAAGAAAGCAGACAAAACAGAGCTTCAAACATTAAAGACTGAAATACTTCAAACATTATATCCTGTTGGTTCTATTTATACGTCAATGAATTCAACAAATCCAGAAACAGTTTTAGGTTTTGGTACGTGGAAGCAGATTGTAGATAAATTCTTATACTGTGCTAGATATTCAAAGCAAACAGGAGGTTCGAAGAAAATTAAAGAAGCAAACCTTCCACCGCACACTCATACAGGAACGACAAACTTTTCTGGCGACCATAGCCACTCATTAAGAGACCACCCATTATACAACTCAGAGTATGAAGCTGGCCATGACGTTTTATCTCCATCTTATAACAATTCAGCAAAAAAGATTTTTCGACCAACTGAACCAGGAGGAAATCATTCACACACTTTCACAACAAATCAACAGGCTCGGGTGCAGATTATATGCCACCATTTGTGACTATATTCGCATGGTACCGCGTTCAATGAACGCGCTTGAGCCTAGAAAAAATTCTTTAACTTACATAAATGAGCTTGAAAGAAGTATTCGAACAACATCCATGGAGGTCATTTAAGAAGTTCAATGAAGCTGCAAAGAGTTGGGGATTTACTAACAGAGCTGAAGTGAAAAGGTTTTTGACAAAAATGTTGTACATCAAACAAAAATAAACCCTTACGACTACTTTTTACCAATTACTCCAACACTCCTGACGCATACCAATTTGACACTCTCATTCAAAGCAGAAAAGGAGGACATAAACCATTCCTCATCTTCATTAATGTTAACACTCGTAAAGCATATGCATATCCAATGAAAAATAAAGGAACTCGTGAAGTGTTAAGAGTTTTACAAAAGTTTGTAGCAGAACATAGCCAAGTACTTTAACATCAGACCAAGACAGTGCATACCTCAGCAATGAAATCACAGATTTTCTCATTAAGCATAAATAACTCACTACACTACTGAAGACCATAACCATAACATACTCGGCATCATAAACCGCTTCATAAGAACGCTCAGAGATTTAAACCAAGAGCGAGATTTTACCGAAGAAACAATGAAACATTTTCTCGAAGTATATTTCCTCAACACATTCTACAACAGGACATACACCAAATTCAATGACACAACAACAAGAAGAAAGTATATACAAAAGAAACGAAGCCAAACACAAAATATCAGAAATTCAACACAATTTACCCTCATTCCTGGTACAAAAGTTCGTGTAGTTCTTGACGACAAACCGTTGAACAAAGAAACGTTTAAGGTTAAGTAGAAACTATTATATCGTAGACTCTACGCAAGGTAATGGATATCTTATAAAAGCTGCTGACGATCTATTGCGTTTTACCCTCGTGCACAAATTAGTCGAAAGTAGTAATGGCAAACTTGCTGAAACCATTGACGAAGCAAAGCGAGGAGTGTTATTGAATACTTGGGTATAACATAAACGATGACACTTATAAAGTAAGATATGAAGGAGGCGTTGAAGATGTTATACCATCTAAGAACTTGAGAGAGTCAAAGTCAACACATCTGGGACCATTAGAGCGGGAGTACTGGAAAGACAAAAATAAGCCAGAAAGAATAAGAAAATTCTTCTAAACTTTTTCATTAGATGTAAATCAGACATGAATGAAAACAGTCATGTATTATTAATGTTTTCATAAATTTACACCAAAAAATATAATTTAGGTGAAGAGGTGAGATCTCACCTATTTTTTCACCTGTTTTCTCACCCTCATGATAATTCTTCTAAACTTTTTCATTAGATGTAAATCAGACATGAATGAAAACAGTCATGTATTATTAATGTTTTCATAAATTTACACCAAAAAATATATTTTAGGTGAAGAGGTGAAAAACCGGGTGAACTCTCACCTCTTCACCTAAAATATATTTTTGTCTGATTTACATCTAATGAAAAAGTTTAGAAGAATTATCTTATTCTTTCTGGTAAATGCTTTGTCTGATTTACATCTAATGAAAAAGTTTAGAAGAATTATCATGAGGGTGAGAAAAACCAGGTGAAAAATAGGTGAGATCTCACCTCTTCACCTAAAATATTTTTTGGTGTAAATTTATGAAAAACATTAATTACATGACTGTTTCATTCATGTCTGATTTACATCTAATGAAAAAGTTTAGAAGAATTTTCTTATCTCTTTCTGGCTTATTTTTGTCTTTCCAGTACTCCCGCTCTAATGGTCCAGATGTGTTGACTTTGACTCTCTCAAGTTCTTAGATGGTATACATCTTCAACGCCTCTTCATATCTTACTTTATAAGTGTCATCGTTTATGTTATAGCCAAGTATTTCAATAACCACTCCTCGCTTTGCTTCGTCAATGGTTTCAGCAAGTTTGCCATTACTACTTTCGACTAATTGTGACGAGGGTAAAACGCAATAGAGTCGTCAGCAGCTTTTATAAGATATCCATTACCTTGCGTAGAGTCTTACGATATAATAGTTCTACTTAACCTTAAACGTTTCTTTGTCAACGGTTTGTCGTCAAGAACTACACGAACTTTTTGTACCAGGAATGAGGGTAAATTGCGTTGAATTTCTGATATTTTTGTGTTTGGCTTCGTTTCTTTTGTTATACTTTTCTTCTTGTTGTTGTGTCATTGAATTTGGTGTATGTCCTGTTGTAGAATGTGTTGAGGAATTATATACTTCGAGAAAATGTTTCATTGTTTCTTCGGTAAAATCTCGCTCTTGGTTAAATCTCTGAGCGTTCTTATGAAGCGGTTTATGATGCCGAGTATGTTATGGTTATGGTCTTCAGTAGTGTAGTGAGTTAGTTATGCTTAATGAGAAAATCTGTGATTTCATTGCTGAGGTATGCACTGTCTTGGTCTGATGTTAAAGTACTTGGGCTATGTTCTGCTACAAACTTTTGTAAACTCTTAACACTTCACGAGTTCCTTTATTTTTCATTGGATATGCATATGCTTTACGAGTGTTAACATTAATGAAGATGAGGAATGGTTTATGTCCTCCTTTTCTGCTTTGAATGAGAGTGTCAAATTGGTATGCGTCAGGAGTGTTGGAGTAAATTGGTAAAAAGTAGTCGTAAGGGTTTATTTTGTTTGATGTACAACATTTTTGTCAAAGAAACCTTTTCACTTCAGCTCTGTTAGTAAATCCCCAACTCTTTGCAGCTTCATTGAACTTCTTAAATGACCTCCATGGATGTTGTTCGAATACTTCTTTCAAGCTCATTTATGTAAAGTTAAAGATTTTATTCTAGGCTCAAGCGCGTTCATTGAACGCGGTACCATGCGAATATAGTCACAAATGGTGGCATATAATCTGCACCCGAGCCTGTTGGATTTGTTGTGAAAGTGAATGATTTCCTCCTGGTTCAGTTGGTCGAAAAATCTTTTTTGCTGAATTGTTATAAGATGGAGATAAAACGTCATGGCCAGCTTCATACTCTGAGTTGTATAATGGTCTCTTAATGAGTGGCTATGGTCGCCAGAAAAGTTTGTCGTTCCTGTATGAGTGTGCGGTGGAAGGTTTGCTTCTTTAATTTCTTCGAACCTCCTGTTTGCTTTGAATATCTAGCACAGTATAAGAATTATCTACAATCTGCTTCCACGTACCAAAACCTAAAACTGTTTCTGGATTTGTTGAATTCATTGACGTATAAATAGAACCAACAGGATATAATGTTTGAAGTATTTCAGTCTTTAATGTTTGAAGCTCTGTTTTGTCTGCTTTCTTATCATATAAATCTTGAGCAGTGAATTTAACATTATTTTCATCATCCATGACATAAACATTTTTACAGCTAATTTCTTTCTTCGTTGTTATGTTTTCATTCGATGTTAAACCTTGTGGAAAGTTAGGAGGTTTATAATATAATGCATCCCCACCAGTTCGCCAACCGTTCCTTCAATACTTTCTATAGCAACAGTTGAGAAGGAGTTATGTGTATGTTCTTTATCTGCTTTTTTATCTAACTTTAGTTTCAAAGTTTCTGACATGACCTTCAATGTTCATACATTTACTATTTAAGGAGTTTAGTGTATCTTTTACGCTTGTACTTGGATTCTCTAAAGGTGCACTTGAACCAAGGGTATAGTTCAATATTATGTCGTCTGCTCTAACAGTAGTGAAGGATTTATGTGTATGTTCTTTGTCAGCTTTACTATTTAATGTAGCTTGAAGTTCATTTATATCGGAGATATTGTGTTTATGAGATTTCAAAACTTTGTTCGTTGCGTCAAGTTCATCTTTGCTGGCTTTACTTTTAATAGCATCTTCAAAAGTTATTTTTGCCTTAACTCTCAAAGTAAATCTTGGTTCAACTAATACACCGTTAACAAAGAAGTATGAAGCATAAATTTCATTGTTATAACCAAATGCTTCTGGTGCTTTACCTGTGTCATACTGTACAGTACAGCGTATGTCATAACCTTTAGCACGAATGAATTTATATCTTCTTTCATTAACATCTTCAGTGCTTATTTGTTCATCCTGTGTTAAATATCCATGGTAGTCCGTTATAATCTGTTCGTCTGAACTTATATAATGAACATGGTTTTTATCTGCTTTTTCGGCTAATTTCTCTTCTATCTCATTTATTTCAAGTTCATGCCTACCACCACCTCCCGAAGAAGTATTTTTCTTCAGCTCTTGAAGAACGTCCACTTCGCCATCTTTGGTGTCAATAATGAGACTTTGAGTTAAAACCTTTCCTGTCTTAATGGATGTTTGTAAAACTTCTTCTTCACCGTGTTCGGGGTTATGGTCGTCATCATATCTTGTGAAATCAGAGATGTTGTCATACATTAAGCATATCTGTCTCAAAAGTTCTGCTATTTGAAACTGGAACGAAAGATATACAGAACTTTCATCATCTCCTAAAGTCAAGTCTGCTTTCTTAAGTATTTCTTGAATGTATGCAATGAGAACAGAGTACCTTGGAAAATATTCGAACAATATTTCATTTGCCGTTGGTTTTGGTGGTTCTTCTGGAGTTTCTGTTGTTTCAGTTCCTTCTGTAGGTTCTGTTGGAGTTTCTGCATCTCTTGACTTCAATGCTCTTGCTCTCAAAGACCTAAATGTTAGAGCACCAGGTTTTACAAAGGACTTTATAAATGCTTTAATAGTTCCTGGTAAGTTATTGTTAGCATTAAGTAAGTTCCTTATGCTTCCATCATGTACGTCCATAGCACTATGTAAAAAATCTATACTTTTCTTGTAGTCAGCAATAGACTGACTGTGATTTTTTAAAGATTTGTCAATACCTTTAAGCCAATCTTCATGCATGTCTGATACTGAGCCAAGAATATCATTTGCTTCCTTTAGTGTATTTTGTGCTTCTCGTAAAGTATCCAATCCCCTACGTGCATTGTTTGCTATACGTCTTACAGTATCTATTTGACTCCTTGTTTCTTGCATCCAACCAGATAAAGTTTTAATAGTATCCGAACCATTTGAAATGAAGTTCAAAGCATTTTTAACGTCATCTAAAACTTCTTCACCAAGTACTGCCCATATCTTTCCGATTTGGTATTGAAGAACTCCATATGAAGCAGCTGTTAAACCAGTATTTATAAGGTTCCATATCCATGATTTAGCAGTTTTTCCATCCTTTCCATCTTCACCATCCAAACCGTTCTCGCCTTGAGGTCCTTGTAGTCCTTGTATTCCTTGTATTCCTTGTGGTCCTTGAGGTCCGGTGTCACCCTTCTCTCCTTTCAGTTCATCTTTATGTTCGTTATAATATTCTAATGTCATAAGGTGTACATCATTACTGTTACCAGCAACGCCGAGAATTTGTTTCTCATTCATGACTAAATTCTTTAGGCATTTAATGTTGTCGTCAAATCGAAAGCTCTTTAACAATTCAATGAGAACATTTAATACTTTCACTAATGAGGCATCTACTGTAGAATTTATATATTGCACCGTTCCATCATTTATGATGGGAACCTTGCTTGTTGTAATGAATGGGTCATAAGTGTTAAAAGTATCGAAATCAATGACTTTTTTAGTTTTTCCATCGTCAATGACTAAATCATTGCCTTCAATGGTTAAAGTTGAGTTTTCATTTACTAGTTCATGTGCTCTTCTTGCTTCATTTGTTTCATACGCATATGCAGCAATAGTCATATTTTAATGAGAATAAAATGTTGTTCTATTTGCAAAGTACAGACCCAAACGAATACGGGACAGTAAAGCTACAAACAAACTTAGGTCTTCAGAATGAAGCGCTTGCTTTCAGAGTTGTTGACTTCAATACTATCGCAACTTTTGTCATAACAGATGAAACAGATTTCATGGAGCTTGAAATAGATGGAAAGAAGCACGAAATAAGATTTCGCAATAATGTAGAATATAAGATGGAAACATTAGCTGGAGTGTTAAATGCTCTCATAAATACTACAATAAACAAGGATAACGAAGAAAACTTAATGAATGTTAAACTTATTGCAGGAGTTTTGAAGTTCAGTTATGTGAAGGAGTTTAAGATAATACGAATGAGTCATAGAGTTCAATTGCTTCTGGGAGCATACCATATGTCATTTCCTTTGAAAAGTGTTGACAAAAAGATTGAGATGAAATCTGTTCCATATGTATGTTATGGCAATTGTTTGTACATTGAGTCAAAAATAGCTAATGTCACAGGTATTTCAGGAGTTAATAGTAAAGGTTCAGTAGAATATAAGTCTTTCTGTTATGCAGTCAATTCAATGTTCATTCCAAACGTTCCTGTCATAGCAACTCATTTAGGTAAATGGGTTCGCATTAGTCCTCATAATTTGGAGATATAAAAATTGCTCACATTTGCTCACATTTTGGTACTTTTTTGTACGTTTGTCAAAAAATTATGAGGAAGATCTCACAAAAATAGTCAAAATGTGAGCAAATTTTGAGAAGTGCTCACATTTTGACATACGATTATTTTCATACGTTTTTTTTGATGAATTCTAATAAAACTTCATTACCACTTTCAGAACGAAGCGTAACTTTTCAGCACGTAACGCTCTATCATGTGTAGTGACATATTATTCAAAAAAACTCAGATTGCTTATCTTATAATAACAATTTCATTAGAAAAAATGCACGATTTCACGCTAAAACTTTGAAGCAATTCTTAAATTCGGATAAAAAATCGATATGTATTACACTTTAAACTTCAAAAAATGGTTCAAAATTTAGACTTAGTTTATCTTAACAATATAGCAGATTTTAAGCCGAACAAGTAGGAGTAATAGAAATAGCTCTTGAAAATAATTACAATTAGTAATATGTAAGTCAAAGTTCAAGTATTCTAATAAATAAACGTTCCGGATTTTCTTTACTACAAGAATCAATACTTAATATATAGAAGCAACAGTAAAAACTTATTAGAGATTCAAAAAGAAAGTTGACTAAAGAGAATCTTTTTATATAAGTAATTTTATTTTTTTGAAATACGAGATCGAATAAACATGTATTTTATTTTATTACTATAATAATACGTTTTTACATAGTAAGAAAGTTTAGAGACTGAAATGAAATTAAAAATTGAGAAAAAAATAAAGCTTTTCTATAAAATTCATATTAATATATAGTATAATGATATTACAATTTATTGATAGTTGTGTTAGAAAAAAGGTACATTCACTATTTTTGACAAAATTTTAAATTTTCATGGGGTTGTAAATCTTATAATAACTAGATGAATAAGGAATAAATCCCAGTATGATGTGCATCATTATATTAAACACTATATGTAAGGCTGGTGATTCTATTAACACTTATGAAGATCTATAGTATTTGAGCAGATAAATTTGATAATTTCCAAAACTCTTATATTTCAAAATTAAAGTGTGCGAATGCATTTAAATGAGAGCAAAAAGAGATTGATGCTGTTAAAACTATGTGTTAATTGCAATTATTTCGCATCACAAGAACTACCCAGTAAATTCGGCTATCTTTCTTTGCAATTATTCTCCATTATACATATAATATAATGGTTAGGGTTTGAAGAAAAGTTACTAGAGAATTATTGACTTTTGAAATAATGCAGAATTTTATTTGAAGAAATCATTAATTTATGAGTTCCAAATTGCTAAGCATGACGAAGGATCATTAAATTTGCTACAATTAAATACACTTATTGCAGAATTAAGATTTTTGAAATTAAAAGTTTGAAATATTGCCTTTTTGAATAAAAATTTAAATTTTATTATATAATCATGATAATATCTTATAGAAATTAAAAGAAAATATTTTAAACCATTCAAATATTTTGAATGTCTTATCAATTTAAAATATTAAAAGATAGCTTGATTTTATCATCATTAGTTGTTATCAAAGTTTTCTTCTTTTGATGAACAACAGTAAATGATTTGTTAATTACTTGTCTTCCTTTTTCGCAGCAAAATCGAAAGTTATGATGATAATCTTGCTCTCAATTTTGAAACTCTCTGATTTACAAGTAAGCATTCCTTTGGAAAAGCAGTCCTATTCTGTTTTCAAGATATTTTAAAGCCTCAATTTCATACAATGCGCAGATCTATTCGAAATTGCAAGAACTCTCAAGAAAAATGCAGCAGCAAAGAAGATTCCATAGTTTCTAGCATCAAAAATTTACAACCTTAATACAACAGTTAAAGAGAAGCTCGAAAAGAAAATATTTAACCATAAAGCTGGAAACCATTCGATATCTACTATTGGATCTAATAAAAAGTTAATTATAACATATTTAACATGCTATTTGTTGACTTTGTTCCATTATATTACCATATATATCTTTTTGAAATCTAAAATATTTTTACAATTTTAACCATGTGTTGTTGAAACCATATATCAATCTTAGCTAAAGTATAGTTTATGAGTCTGTCACCATCTAACGTATGAATTTTCAAAAATGTCAAATATGTTCATTTTTTCTGTAGATTCAGCCATAATTTCACGTTGTTATACTATTCAACTATTATTTAATATTTTTATCGATTTAAATATATGATGAGATGCTTAGTTCTCCTGGAAATCGATTTTTAATCGCAATTTTAACTTTCCAAAAAAATTCAAAAATAAAAATCCCTCTCAATTTTCTAAGTTTTATAACTCGCCAAATCTCTAGCCAAATTTTTTTGGCCCGTATAAATATTGTTTGGCACTATATAGGGATGCTATTTATCATATTTTCATCCCATTTTACTGTTATCGCCTAGTGAATGTACCTTTGTTAGAAAAAATATACAACTAAAATGTCAGTTTTAAAAAATTTAAAAATTATATTAAAACAATAGTCATTGAGGATGGTTAATTGCAAAAACTCAAGAAACTATCATTATCTCTCTTTGCTTAACACATCTACAACTGGAAACATCATTCCAAATGAAGTTCCTCAGTCTCGTCAAAATTTCTCTCTCATCTACAACAAGCTTAACTCAAAACTCAAGAAACTATCATTATCTCTCTTTGCTTAACACATCTACAACTGGAAACATCATTCCAAATGTTGCATTCAAGAATCCTATTATTATTCTTTCTTTCAATCTTTTATATTTACTCTTTAAATTCTAATATAATATAAATTCTTCATTTCCTTTGTTTAAACTTTTTTCATTTTAATACCATTTTATCAGATAGTAATTTTTGTTTTTCTCTGACCAAAAATCTTCTCAATTTAACTCCACCTTCACAAAAATTCATTGAGTTCTCTCAAAATTCTTGTATTTTTGGTATACTTAAAGTATCATCTTCAAATATTTTTTGGAGAAAATTGACTTTGCATAATATCGTAATACTTTTTAAGGCAGATAGATTTACCGTAAGTTGAAGAACTTTTAATTTGAACAGAAATTATTCAACAAATATTCTTTTTATTTGATCAAGATACGTATACCAATATGATCTACTTGCTAGGGATATGTAGATCACGTTCAGAATTTGCCAAGTTTGGTGAATATCTATGGGATTAGGGACATCTATTTAATTTAAGAACTAAAAATTAGCATAGGCGTATTATGCTGTTACTGAAATATATTTTGGATGTATAAATTTTTACTTAATACTCTTTTATTGTTATCATTTTTAAAGATTTTTTATTATGAGCAAAAAAATGGCAAGACAATAATATATTGTACATGCAATTTATTATTACTGAATAAATTTATCAATCAAATTTGATCACATACAATTTTTACAGATAAATACATTATCTCAAAAAATATCTATATATTAGTATATGTTACACGAAATGTAATAAAATGTATTACTTTGGTTTATCAATTTATAAATAAGAATGAAAATTTGTTATAGCTTTGTTCCAATATTTATTTTTATATATTTAAGTTATCCATTTTACTGTTTTCATTCATATTTATAACAAAATTAGAGTCCTTACATTATTTATCTTATTTCAATAGTGATAAAAATCAACTATATTTTGTAAGATCTTAAAAAGTGACAAAAATGGAAAACTACATTAAATTTATTTATAAGGATACAAAATTATATGTCATTCCACCAAGAGCGGTTAAAGCATTAACACTTTATTTATATATATCTCACAAGCTAAGTTTACCTCTAAACACATTCGAATTAACAACAAATAACAAAAATTTAGGTGTTCTGGATAATTTGCGCTGTAATAACAAAATTACTATCAATATTAAAAGAAAAAAGAAGCCTTTTAACTTATTTTCAATTCCGATTGTAAACAGTATAAAAACTTCTGAAGATCAAGACAAAAAGATTAATCAAATATCACAAAATGACGAAAATTTATTGTGGGCAGCCAAGTTTGCGTTGTATATGAGCAATAACATAATAGAAGAAGCAGTTAAAATCATGAATTTCAATTGTCTTCAGGAAGTATTCAATCCTGTTGATGAAATTAAAAAAATGTTAGAAGGAGAGTATAAAGTAACAATTTCAGATGGAAATAAAAATAAATTATATGAGACAATTTTACCAAATGAAGAAGCTGAAGATTCTTATAGTGAGAATGATAGTGATATCGATTATGATGAAGAAAGTAAACAAAAGGATAAAAATGATTTTTCTATAGAAACTCATGATAAAGATAACAATATAAGAAAGAATTGGCCATTTCAAGATGAAGACAACGAAAACTCGGATTCTCTATTAAACAGATATTTAAGTTCCGAAGAATTCAATGAATTCAAAGAGGAGGAGAATGAACAAATTTTATTAGATGAACAAACTGCAACAATAAGTGGAGTAACTGCTCAAAATTCAAATATAAGACAAAATGAAACAATAAGTGGAGTTTCTCCTCCAAACACAAATCAAAGACAAACTGCAACAATAAGTGGAGTTTCTCCTCCAAACACAAATCAAAGACAAACTGCAACAATAAATGCAGTTTCATTTCCAAACACAAATCAAAGACAAACTGCAACAATAAATGCAGTTTCATTTCCAAACACAAATTAAAAACAAACTGCAACAATAAGTGGAGTTACTCCTCCAAACACAAATCAAAGACAAACTGCAACAATAAGTGGAGTCACTCCTTCAAACACAAATCAAAGACAAAATGCAACAATAAATTCGGATATTCAGCGTCAAATCCCTCAGCATCAATCCTCACTACCTAATGAAACTGCTTCTTATTCTTCCCAAATTTCTAATCATTTAACCGATAATCCTCCATTAACAGATTTACAAAATACACATCTAGTGCCAAATTTTGCTTATGATTACCAAAATAATTTTTCAACGCATAAACAATCTATTATCGTTAATAAAGCTTGCATTGAACTTATTCCTAATTATCAATCTTTTGATGATAAAAATAAAGAGATTCACCGAAAAAGAATCAAAAATATTCTGAGGACTTATCATACATTTTCAATTTCCCAATCCGCACGTATTAAATATTCATTAACCATATATACAAATGGTCATCCTTTGAGATTTCAACGTTACAATGCTCATAATAATTATTTAGAAATTATTTATTATTGCGGATATAAACCTAGATGCAATTTTTGTATGCATGTAAAAGTCTTTGATGAGAAATTAAATATTTCTCCTGAAGAAAAACCAGACAGTAAACTTCATAACTGCCGACCTGCAAAACAATCTCAAATAATTAAAGGAACAAATCCAATGAACTATGATATTGAATCTCAAGTTCAAGATTATGTTGTCAAAAATCCAACCGCAACGATATCAGAAACAAGAAAGTATGCAAATCAACTGATATATGACTGTAATCAAGCCCAGTCTACTAATTTCATTCAGATATCAGAGAAGAAAGTCCAACAGCTGTATTATGAAGTTCATCCTGTCAAATCAAAATCAGAGATTGATCTTATTAATGAAATGTTAGAATTTTTTAATCAAAGATCATATTTTATTACCCAAAGCACAAAAAATGATAATGCCTATTATTTTTTTGGATTGGAACGTTTCATTCGAGTTGCACGGTATTCATCACATTGTTTTATTGATGGAACCTTCAAAGTCGTTCCTGTATCAATAATGAATGGCCAATTATTAAATTTGTTAATTTTTGACCAAGCAACTCAACTGTATCTACCGTTTTTACATATAATCATGACGGGAAGAACAGAAACTGATTATCAAAGAGTATTTAGTATTATGGAGTATGATACTGATATTAAAATTCCTTTATCAACATTTGATGTTATAACAACTGATTTCGAAAAAGCACTTCAAGGCTCAATTTATAAAAGAAAAGGAGAGCAAACCATATTGACTGGATGCATATATCACTTTATTGCAGCATTAGTTAAGAATTTCAAGAAAAAATGTGATCCAGAAGATCTTAACAATAAAATTCTTTTAAAGTTATTATGCGCTTCTCCATTCATGCCAGAAGAAGTTTTTGATTTGGTTTGTAATAAAATTAAATGCATTCAAGATACAAATGAATTTGCAAAATACTTTATTAAAACATGGAGCACAAGCTATAATTCAATCAGCAAGCTCAAAGTATTCGACAATATTTATTCTAATAATGGCGTAGAATCGTACAACAAAGTGTTAAATACAAATATTGTATATTCACATCCCACAATTTTAAAGACGGTACACACTTTAATGAAAGTGGATTTAGCGATTTTGCATCGATATGCACGGGCAGATAAAAACACAAGTGATCATAAACAGTCGTATTTCATTAAATTGAAAAAAATAAATGAAGAGATTCAGTTATTTGAAGAGCATTTTGGTCTGGAAATATCATTAATTCCTGAGGATATAATGAAAAAATATAAGGATTTGTCCAAACATTCTGGAATTGATTTCAGAGATATTGAAATTGAAAGGTATATGTCAAGTGATCAAATACTTGATGACATTCAAATAAATTTAGAAGAAACAAAAAATGAAAAGATAGAAAACATTGAAATTGCCGAAGATGATTTATTTCAATAATATGTAACATTGATTTCTATTCAACTTTATCGTTATTATAATAAACATTTTTATGATTTTTTTAATATTTTTTATAAGTAGATTGAAGATTATTTGATGGAAAGATGTATATATATACATAATGTACCTTACAATATCTTCATGCTATGAATTCCAGAATAATGACAAGTCTTTCATTCTTAATTAGAAGTCTCCAATATTTTGTCTATTTTTTCATATTTTTTCTATTTTTTTTCACCATTTAAAATTTCTTAAATTCTAAATATAGCAAATTATATCATTTTACTTTCTGCAACGATTTAATCGATAATTATATGAATATTATTGTAAATATTTCTAAAATATTTTAAATACAAATAATTTTAAACTGAACCAAATAAATTGGATAACTTTAACTCAATCAAATAAATATTAATATGAATTTTTATAGAAAAGCTTTATTTTTTTCTCAATTTTTAATTTCATTTCAGTCTCTAAACTTTCTTACTATGTAAAAACGTATTATTATAGTAATAAAATAAAATACATGTTTATTCGATCTCGTATTTCAAAAAAATAAAATTACTTATATAAAAAGATTCTCTTTAGTCAACTTTCTTTTTGAATCTCTAATAAGTTTTTACTGTTGCTTCTATATATTAAGTATTGATTCTTGTAGTAAAGAAAATCCGGAACGTTTATTTATTAGAATACTTGAACTTTGACTTACATATTACTAATTGTAATTATTTTCAAGAGCTATTTCTATTACTCCTACTTGTTCGGCTTAAAATCTGCTATATTGTTAAGATAAACTAAGTCTAAATTTTGAACCATTTTTTGAAGTTTAAAGTGTAATACATATCGATTTTTTATCCGAATTTAAGAATTGCTTCAAAGTTTTAGCGTGAAATCGTGCATTTTTTCTAATGAAATTGTTATTATAAGATAAGCAATCTGAGTTTTTTTGAATAATATGTCACTACACATGATAGAGCGTTACGTGCTGAAAAGTTACGCTTCGTTCTGAAAGTGGTAATGAAGTTTTATTAGAATTCATCAAAAAAAACGTATGAAAATAATCGTATGTCAAAATGTGAGCACTTCTCAAAATTTGCTCACATTTTGACTATTTTTGTGAGATCTTCCTCATAATTTTTTGACAAACGTACAAAAAAGTACCAAAATGTGAGCAAATGTGAGCAATTTTTATATCTCAATATGAAGTGTGTTTTCTCCATATTTATTTTTTTTTCATTGATATTCGCACCATGTGAAATAAGAAATTTAACAGTTTCTTTACTATAATTTTTAGCTGCAATATGAAGTGCGGTTTCTCCATCTTCATCTTTTTCATTGATATTCGCACCATGTGAAATAAGAAATTTAACAGTTTCTTTACTATAATTTTTAGCTGCAATATGAAGTGCGGTTTCTCCATCTTCATCTTTTTCATTGATATTCGCACCATGTGAAATAAGAAATTTAACAGTTTCTTTACTATAATTTTTAGCTGCAATATGAAGTGCGGTTTCTCCATCTTCATCTTTTTCATTGATATTCGCACCATGTGAAATAAGAAATTTAACAGTTTCTTTACTATAATTTTTAGCTGCAATATGAAGTGCGGTTTCTCCATATTTATTTTTTCATTGATATTTGCACCATGTGAAATAAGAACTTCTGCCATTTCATCATAATTCCATGCTACTACATTATGAAGTGCTGTGTTTCCATTTTTATCTTTTTCATTGATATTTGCACCAAGTGAAATGAAATATTCCAAAAGGGGTGGAAAGTTAAAGTTCACTGAATTAATAAAACATTTGTTAATATCATTAGTTTGATCGAAATAAACTAAAAATGATTCAAGATTATTATACCACAATAAGATAATTTGATCTCTAAATTGTACTCATTCATCAAGAATGTAACAAAATCAATGTTGTGTGAAACAATCGCATATTCCATGGATTCTTTATTTGGTTCCTGATATTTCAAACATTCACTCATGATCTCTTGATTTCCTCCTAAAAATGATAAATCTAGACATTTTTGAGTTATTTCTGAATTGAATTTCGTTCTTAAAAACTTGAAACAATCAACTGCTCCATGATAACAACATAATTCAAGTAATGAATATCCTTCAATAAAAAGTTGATATGGATATAATGTGCTTTCAAGTGTTTGCTCTTTATCAAATCCTTCTCTTTCAGTGAACGAGATGAATGTTTCTAGGTTATTATACATAATTGCTCTGTAAATTGTATTTTCTGCATGAATATCGATATTTATAAAATGAATTTCTTTGAAATCATCAGATTTGTTTAACTTAATTCCATATTCTTTATAAAACAGGAAATTTGGAATAGTTGGAATACTGCTTGCCTCTGTGATATGATAATCATCAGATATGAGTTTGGCAAGAAATAAATACGACTTTGTATAGCGATTATTATATGGAATAATATTTAAAATGTCATTTATAACACTTGTAGGTAGATATTTCTTTGAATCAATTCTGTTTCGATCATTTTGTAAATTTTATTTAATTCTTCGTCATTTTGGGTTTTTAGCTGATAAATTGCATTGTATGAATCAATGTAGGATTTGAAAATACTTCACAATTCACTGAATTTATTTGGGTGAATGTCTTGATCAGTGAATTGCATTTTACCATATAGGATATCATTTAAATTCATTAGAAGAAAAAAATGTAATGTTATACATTTGGAAAACGGGAAGACTACAAAATTGTGCGGCCAAATTGCCACCATTTTGTAAAGTAGTTTTTTTGACATCCAGTGCAATTGCAGGGGACGTGTTTCAAAAAAATTTTAATGGTTGTGTGAGAGACCTTATTCCCTTACAGGAGCTCCTCAGCTCCCAATCCTACGAAATGGAGCTCCGGAGCTCCTGAATCTGTATCAGCAGAGGCCCTTTACCATTTGGGCCTCTGCTGATCAGAAGAATAAGGCAGCCATTCTGCCTCTTCAGGAGCTCCAGAGCTCCTAATCCCTACGAAATGGAGCTCCGGAGCTCCTGAATCTGTATCAGCAGAGGCCCTTTACCATTTGGGCCTCTGCTGATCAGAAGAATAAGGCAGCCATTCTGCCTCTTCAGGAGCTCCAGAACTCCGTTTCCTCAAGATCAGGAGTGATGGAGTTCCTCACTTTCGATTTGTTAAAGCCTGTTCTTTTGGGAACAGGCTTTAATAAATTTAATGTGCACTCAATCCAGCTCTGTTAAATATTTTGAACTCTACTCTTCTAATATAGAGTTCAAAATATCTTCCAGAGCTGGATTGAGTCTATATTACATCATATTTCTCAGTAATTTTGTGAATATGTGTTGGTGAAATAACCCTCACTAATGCAGACTTTACAATGTCAAAAATACTAAATTCTGACACTTTACAAACTTTACAAAGCACACTTTTGTAATATACCCTTTGGAAAACTATGTTCTCAAAGATTTCCGATAAAATTTATGAATTTTGCTTAAGTTCATATATTTGAAATGAAGCAATAACAATAAAATAGTCGAAGGTAATATTATTTTCACCCAGATGCTTAAATTATTTAATAAATTAAGGAAATAAATAAGAAATAATCGGATACAATAATAATAAATTTATTATCCTACAATATAAAGAATAAAAAAATAAAATAATCAACGAATAAACACAAAATTTGGAATATTTTTTTCAATTAGTAGCATTTTGGAGCCAACAAGTACAAGAAAATAATTTGTATTGCTGCCAAAATAAGCAGGAAGTAAGTAATTATTTGTGTACTCTGTGTTTGGCGCTGAGCCATGCATTGTTCACTATTTAAGGTTCTGAGGGTCCAAAGGAAGGCTGCTGCAGCACAGTATAAGTAAGATACGTAGAAAAGGGCTCTGTTCCAGGAAAATAGTGAAATAATTGTAAGATAAAATGATATCGATAAAAAGTCTGAAAGAAGGGAGAGAATTGGATATGTTCCTTGTATACCAAAGTTGGAGAAGCATAATTTGCAAATTACTATCTCGAAGAACAAGATGCAGATAAATTTAAGAATACAGATGTATAAGAAGTCCATTGAAAAGCCCTTCTCAGCTCCTTTTATGAGAGATGTGATTAGCATGAAAATAAACGTAAAAACTAATGGTGTGTATAATTCTGGAGCGTTTGGATTATCAATTGGAGAACATGTTTGTCCTTCAGGTACAGAGCGAGACCATTGCTTAACAATAAATGGACATGCTAAATTCTTAATTTTATGAAGAAAAGAAGCTCTTGTAATTGCAAAATAAGGTGGAATTAAGGACTGACTTTGCTGGAATTGTTGAGTAAGCTTATCTGTATTTAATTGTTGAAATTGAGGTGGTAATTGAATTCCACCTGTTAACATTTGGGCATATTTAAAAACTTCTGGTGACATGAATGGATTTCCACTTTGTGGTTGCGGCTGTTGCTGTTGAGGATCTTGTGGATCACCACTTCCTTGATAATATCCGCCTGAAAGCATTTTTTAATTCGTTTCGATTTTTTTTTCTTTTCTGGCGGTGTCAAAATAGCAAAATTATTTTATTTGATGCTATTTTTCTGATTAATCAATTGGTTACAAAATTTTTAATTTTGCTAAAAGTTACATGCACGAAAAGTAACACCCTCTTCTTTTTTCCTAGGGTTACTGATCGCTTCCTTTCTGCTCGTCATGCCAGAAATAAAAGAAATGATTGGTGTAGAATAATTTATTACTACAATTGGCAACTATCTCGTAATAAAAAAAAAAAAAAGGTAGTGGGGCTTCCAGGGCTGCGCCCCTCTAGCCCCTGAAGATGTTTAGTATAAAATGCAGTTTATATAAAATGAGGTTTTTTTGGGTATAGGGGGCTTCCCAGGCACTTCGTGCCTTCTAGCCCATAAAATTTTTGAGAGTTGTTGCTGTTGACTTTTTTTGTAGAGTACTCAAAATAGTATAACTATGTCCGGACAAGTAAGGGTCTATCGTCGCTACAGAAAAGTTACGGGCGTTCCAAGGAAGTATACTTTGAGAAGCCTTTTCTCCATTTTAAAACAAGATAGGACGGTTATTTTACAAAACCGACAAGTACTTGACCGAGTAGTTTTCATGTTTTGTCACTTTTCTGTCACTTTTCAGGGAAAAACATTTTTATTATATATATAAAATGAATTTTACAAAACCACCGTTACCCTTCTTTGGAAATAAGAGTAGATGTAAAGATATTCTATTGAGAGAACTTAAGAAACTACCGAATGGTCTAACATTTGTAGATTTGTTCGGTGGAAGTTTCTATATATCCCATTTATGTCATACAATATTCCCAGACTCAAAGATTATATGCAATGACTTCGACAACTATATGGACCGTCTCAAACATATTCCAGACACAAACAATATATTGAAAGAGTTAAAAGAAAAGATACCTATAGGTAAGATGGAACGTATACCATTAGATAAGAAAAATATTGTCAGAGAGGTTTTGAAAAAAGCAGAGTATATAGACTGGGATAGTATATCTGCTAGACTATTATATAGTGGTTCTATAAGAGTTCATGACATTGAAACACTTATGTCAAACGTTTTATATCTTAACTATACAAACGTTTTCAAAGAGAACATAGAAAAATATATTGAGGGTATAGAGTTTGTGAGATGTCGTTGGACAGAGTTGTATGAAAAATTTAAAGACAAGGAAAATGTTTTCTTTATAGTAGACCCGCCGTTCTATAACACATATGATTTTCAATACCAAGTAGACTGGACTTTGAGAGACTCTTTAGAAACTTTAGACGTTTTACATAACCATCCATGCTTTTACTTTACATCCGATAAAAGTGGTTTGGAAACCGTTATGAGATGGTTAGAGGACATACATGACTATGAGTTTAGATATGACAAGATAGAATATGAGAGAGGTCCTATAAACCGGAAAAAGTGTCATAACAAAGAAATTTTATTGGTAAGTAAATGTGGTTTGAAATAGGACTACTTGTTTTAGGTTTTTTCCATTGTGTCATTTACTTATTTGACGTGGCAGAAAGATATAGAGAATATGAAGATGAACCAATGTCTGCAAATGTTCAGCATATGTACTCGTAAGAGATATTTTTATCTAATATTAAATGGACGCACAGAACTTAGCGAATGCACAGCAACCTGGACAACCAAACCCAGAGAATATTCCAAATGAAGTTAGAATACAAACTGCAATGGCAAACTATGGTCAAGTGCCAACAGATGTACAAATGCAAACTGCCATGTCAAATGACGCTGCGTTAGGTTTGCCACCATGGTATGCAAATATGAGATGGAAAGAGTTTTATACAAACCCTGAAGTGGGATATAAACAACTCTATGCAGATGACGCGAACACAGGAGTTGACCCAGAATATGTTTTCTACCAGAGGAGAAATAGAATGTATGAGCTCCAGTTAAAGAATGCTATGGAACTCAACAGGAAACGTAAAAGACTAGGCGGACATTAGATTTTTACATATAGTAAAATGGGTTTCTTTGGAAGAATAGGAAACTTCTTTCGAAATGTTGGAAGAGGTATATGGAATGGAATAAAATCTGTCGGAAGAGGAATTTGGAACGGAGTCAAAAATATTGGTAAAAGAGTAGGTCAGTTCGTTGGTATTATACCTAAAGACCCTGAACCAGAAGAACAAGCTCCTGTTATACAACAGCCTGAACCTGCACCACAGTCTAGTTGGCAACCAAATCCAACACCTCAACCGTATTAAAAAATTATATTTTTACCGTTCGATAGTAGTTGTATATGAGACTAAGTTCTAAGTAAAACGCGTGGTATAATGGAACTATTCTCTTTCTTCCATCTGTAGTAAACCATACTTGAAAGTCTGAAATACTTCCACTCGGCGGTTCATATAGCTTTGTAGGTTTTTCGTAAAAGTCATTTGCCAAGCATAAAAAAGAGTTTTGTGCACCAGAAAATGAAGCATGAACTATAATAGCATCTTGGTCGAAAACATTTTCATATGTTCCATTAGGGTTTTCGACTTCATAAAAGTTCGGGTGTACTGGATATTCTGCAGGCTGATTTAACATCCTCAAAAATCTATACCATGCCAAGTTGTTATATTTTGTAGAAATATAAACGTCTTCTCCAAGGTCTTCTATTCTATTGATTTTAACAGTTGCATTTTTCCTGTCATATAAAATATCGAGATGGTACTCTCCTTCGTCAATGTTGTACTGTTTTGCATATTCGAGATAGATATCGTTTATTTTTTCTTGAAAAGCTTGAAGAGTTGTTTCTAAGTTTACAAGCAAACTAACTTGTAAAAGTTTTCCCTGTACAAATTTCTCATACGTACGTTTTTCTTTGTTATAGTATCGAACTTCAAAAGCGACCGTAAATGGGAAACCATGTATGGCTTCTGAAATGAACTTCATTCTACGAAAGCCAATAGCTTTTGTGACGGATGGGTCTCTTAACCATCTTAACGGGTAGTCAAAACGATAGCCTTCATGCTTTACGGTCTCTGTCTCAAACTTTTGACCGACATTCGTAAAAAGTTCATCTAATGGTTTAGTTGTAGCAACTCTAGAAGTTTCTTTTTCTATTGGAAGCATATTTTATCTAGAATAAAAATGTCGAATGAAACAGCGTCTATGAGAGAAATACAACACAACCGACAACTCATTTTGCAAGCTCTAAATAAGAACACAACAAACTTTTCAAACTATTCTAAGATATCTGAGTCATTGAAAGAAGGAAACTTAAAACTGACATTAAACCCATTGACAGATGAGTTTCTATTTCAAGACAATAAGAACCATACTGTCTGTGTAAATCCAACAAAAGGAACTTTAAACGAGAAACCTATAGATGAACTTCTTTTGAAAGCAGATATTGACAACAAAGCTGACAAAGAGTATGTAGATGCAACAAAAGACTATATTCTCGCATGGACAGAAAGAACATACCCACAAAAACATCATACACATAACATCTATGACGTAGATGAACTTCAAGAAAAGTTAGATGACAAAGCAGATAAAACATATGTTAACGATGAGTTAGCATGTGTGGCTAGTGCGTTAGTGAAGAAAGCAGATAAGGAATATGTGGATGAAAAAGATGAAAAAATTAAAGAAATGGTTGAATGGTACCATGAACGGACAACAAAGATTTTAAAAACGAAAGCTGATACAGGATGGGTTTCAGGATGTTTAGACCTTAAAGCTGACAAAGAAACTGTAGATATGTTGACACAAACGGTTTCAAGTCATACCAGAGGTTTAATGGAAGATGGACAACAGTTGAAAGAGCTTGAGAAAGGTGTTACAGAGTTAAGGAATACAAAAGCAGACAAAACAGAGCTTCAAACATTAAAGACAGAAATACTTCAAACACTATATCCTATAGGTTCTATTTATACGTCAATGAACTCTACCAGACCAGAAGTAGTACTTGGTTTTGGAACTTGGACTCAAATAGTCGACAGGTTTTTGTATTGTGCAAACTCTTCAAAGGAAACAGGTGGAAGTAAAACGATTTCAGGTGAAAACTTACCTGCACACAGTCACTACATAGATTTAAGTACATCTGAAGCAGGTTGGCATAAGCATAGATTTTGGGATTGGTCGGCAATGAAAAAAGGTAAAGGATATGATGTTAAAGAGGACGTTCAGTTTGCTATAAATTGTTTCTGGGGTAACACACAGGGAGAAGGAAACCATACACATCGCGTTTCAGGGTATACGCAAACAACGGGACAAAGTAAAGACTACATGCCACCTTACATGACAGTTTACGCATGGTATAGAAATGCTTAGTCGTCATTTTCAACTTCTTTAGCATATTCGTCAGGAGTTGTCTTATATTTGTTAGAAACTGTCTTTGAAAGTATACCACCTTGAACTTTGACAAGTTTGAAACGAGGTCTGACAATAGTAGTTTTATCTTCTGCTTGCAGTGTGTACATTTTGCCATGTTTGCCTAAAACTTCATAATATTCTCTTGTATACTTTCTTCTATTTTTACGAACACGAATGTGAGTACCTGTCGGGTACTTGTTGTTGTCATAGTCAATAGTATTTTCATATGGGTTGTGTTTAGGTATTTCTATTTTTACTTTGTCACCTTTCTGAAGTTTGAAGCCCGGCATTCTTTCTTGTTTGTCTCTTTTGACTAAATTGTTAAATATATAGTCTTTCTCTAAGTCAGGGTTGTTTTTCATTTCTTCGGGGGAGTGGTTTCCCAAACCTTTTTGTTTACGGTTATTGTAAATATTTAAAACTTGTCTCATCTTTGCCATGGAGAAGTGTCTATATTTGTCGTCATATGACATTTCATTTGCTTCACCACCTTGTGGTTGGTTTAAGTCTCTTAACATTTTTATACAACCGTCAATGACACCAAGAGCAGAATGGTTTTGGTCGACAATGAAATATTGGTTTACATTTTTTGAACGCAGATAGTTTTTAATATCGTCTGATTTGAAAGAACTTTCATAGTCAGATGTCAGTTTTGTTGGATGGTATTTGTCAACGAATATTGTCAAAGCAGTTTTCACATCTAAAATATTTTTGGACCATAATGGTATGGCTTCACAGTATCTTGTGTTTTGACCAACAAATATTAGCCAGTATGGTGGTCCATCTTCTCTATACCTCGAATGTTTTCCAAGATACCATAAACCAAGCATTTGGTGTTGAACTAAAGATTTTTACCATGAGTGCTTTCTTTGTCGCTTTAGAAACATACGGGTCCTTGTTTGAATTCGTCATTTTTAACCCATAAGAAATGGGTTTATTTGGCGCATTAGCAGGAGTCGCATCCAGATTTTTGCCCGCAGTGGGAACAATAGCCAGAGGTGCATTTGGAATTGGAAGGAAGATTTTGAGTACATTAGGTATACTGAAAGAGAAAGCACAACCTATTATACAAACTGTACAGAAAGGTTGGGATGTAGCACGAGATGCAGCAAATCTTATTCCAAATCCTGAAACAAGAGGAAAAGTTCAAGGCTGGATGGACAATGTAAGAACACAAGCAGGAAAACTACTATAACAAAGCAAATGACTACTATAACAAGCAGGGCACTATATGGACCAAGGTGAAAGATTCTTTAACAGAGGATATAACCATGCACAACAGTGGGTAAACAACAACAACCGCCAACCGCCTCAAACGTGGGGAATGTAAAATTTTTTACTGAGATGAAATGAACAATACAGCATTGAGACAAATGGGTTCAAGATGGATTTGTCGGCTTCCAGCAGTTACACCACCACGTGTTTGTCAAGTTCTTCCTATACCTCAGGAAGTTTTAGACCGACTTAAAAAACCTAAACAACCAGTTGAAAACAAACCAAACTAAAATTTTTTACTGAGATGAAATGACCGAAGAAGTTGAAACGGTAGATTTGACACCACAAACAAAAAGTTCAGAACCATTGTCAAAACCTGTCAAAGAACTTACAGATGAAGAGAAAAATTCAATAATAGAAAGTGCCAGGTCTGGAAATACAAACCCTAACTACAAAGTCACTTTTCATAAAAATGGAACGGCTAGTATCTCAAAAAAGAAACAGACTCTCACAAATAAAATATTTAAGTCTGAAGGAGCTTTCGAGACAACAGATGGAAAAGTTTACTTCACTGACCAACAGTTCATTATAGAACATCTCATTGACTTAGAGTCGAAATATTCTAAACTTTACAACAAACACAAAAAGTTGAAAGGAAAACAAAAACAAATGGCATATGATATTTATGAAGATGTTGACGACACAACTGTTCCAGCAAGTGAGGTAAAGTCAGAGGAACCGAAAAGTGACGAAAAACCAATAGAAGAAGAAAAACCAAAAACTGAAGAAAAACCAAAACCAAAGGTTAGTTTCAATACTAAACCAAGTCAACCTTCATTAGCTGGTATGGGTTGGCGTCAAAGACTTATGGCAGCGGGCGGTTATGTAAAGTAAAGAGAAAACATTTTTTTATTTTTATAGAAATGCCCCCATATAGAATGGATAGAAAGTCTGCTAGAATAAAAGCAGAGTTGCAAAGATATGGTTGGAGAGTTTCGAAGAATTTTAAATATAGGAAGGGAAGACCCATAAAAGTCTATGACAAATTGTCTGGTCTTCGCTACGAAATGGATTTAGAAACAGCACATGCCAATTATCCAAACAGACTAGAGAGGTTAGAAGAAGAGCGTCTTATGGACATGCCTTTCGATGTTAATGAACCTCAAGTTGAAGGACACGACGGCTTTGCCAGATTCTACTGGAAACATGACGAACAATTGCATCCTTTGAGAAGGAAAAAAGGAAAAGGTGAAGACGCACATGCTCCCATGGAAAGAACAAGATATGCATATGAAAAGTATCGTGAGGTTAGAAGTAAAATTACATCTGGTCGAACCTTTACAGTAAACTTTGACGAAGGAAAGAACAAAGAAGGCTTCATGGGAGTACTTGCTGCAATTCAAGACGGAAATAAGAAAGGACACAATCTCAGATTGACCGTAACAGATTTGGATGGTCACATTTACTATGCACATGGCAATGTCACAACAGCTGCACAACTTCTTGACGCTTTCAAGACTACAAAGAGAGAACAAATGTTTGACTCCGACTCAGACATTTTGAATGCAATTGAAGGAATTGCAAGCGTGAAGTTCGAATGGTATCAACCTAACCCTCAAGCAGTCAGACAACATGCTGGGTATTTCCCGTTCAGAAATAAGTCTGACATTGACTTGACAAGGTATGGAATTTACAATTCAATTGAAACAATTGTCAATGAACCTTGTATTCTTACATGTCTCAGGAACTCTGGTCTTGTTACAGATGAGAAAATGAAGTATCTTGAGTCATGTGTGAAACAAGGTACATTCTCAGAGGTCAATTGTCAAAAATTGCACCGTTGGCAAATGTGAATATCCGAGTCAACATTCCGACTGAGAAAGGTTTTCACATGACGACTATGTTGTTGACAAAGACTTACCATGGTTGAAGATTGTACTTGTCCACAACCACTTCATGTTGAACGAAAGTCTTACAAACCCATTGTTCGGAAAAGGCAAGTGCAACATTGTCAGAGCTGTTAACATTCTTTTCGAGAAAGGTTTGTTGGAACCAATTCCAGATGACAAGCTGACAGAAACTTTTGTACCAAAAGACGAAACAAACTTTTCATTGTTAGCAAGACCAAAAGTTGTTCCAGACAAAGTTTAGCACAAAAGAAGTACACAGTTCCAAAAGGAGTTGGATTGTTCGGATACCAACCTGAACCAGAAGAACTTCCAATGAGGTTGCAAGAACTTCAAGATGCTATAAACAAACTTCCATTGAGACATCCAATTGACGTCAAATTGTATTGGAGAGCATCAGAGTTAGGTCAGAAGGTTTTATATGAAACAGGTTGCTTCGACGATGTTTATGAGATAACAGGAGAAGTTTCTCAGAAGATAAGAGACTCACTTGAATTTCCAAACTGGACCATTGGTTGCGACAAGTTCGACTCAAACGAAAAGATATACTATGTCGACCTTAACGCTGCATACATGAGGTTTGTCCAATATATTCCGACTGGAATTCCAAACGAAGATGGTGAGTTCCCGGAAGGAACTATACAGTTGGAAAAGTCATACAACAACTGTATGATATTAGGAAAGCTTCAAACCCCAAACTTGCAATGACACTCAAATTGCTTATGAATTCGACATGGGGATATTCCATTAAGAAAACCTCAAAGATGAAGAGTAAACACTATGAGAAGGTCGACAACTTTGTTGAAAGGTTTTCTCCTTTTGTTTTGAAGTACGAGTTCACCGAAGGTCAAAATGGCTTAGTAACCACATTAAAACCTATTGTCGAACATTGGTCTTACCCTCAGTTCGCAAAGGCAGTCCTTGACAACTACAAAAATTCTTCTCCGAAGTCAAATCCAAAGTTTGGTTTACTATGAGAACATTGACGCACTCATGACGAACGAAGAAGGATACAACAAACTCATTGAAATGGGAATGTCGGTGAAAAGATGGGCTGTTTTAAGCTAGATAAGGTATTTTCCGAAGTTCATGTCCTCTCCAAGCGTAAGTACTGGGGCATACTTGAAGACGGCACAGAAATAAAACATTGCATGAAATAAAAAATTGCATGAAGTAAAAAATTGCATGAAGTAAAAACGTTTTTAAAACAGTATATTTTTACATATATAAAATGCTTCAGGTTGAAAAACAAAGAACAAAAGCAGCAGATACAAAACCGTTAGACTATATCTTTACAAATGCTGGTAGGAATATTTCAGATGAAGAAATTTCATCCCGAACTTACAGGTTTGACTATCCAATTCGTTGGCTTCAAAGTCCTTCAGATGCAAAGGCAATAGGATTTAGAAGAGTTTTGTTTTCAAATAGAACTAACGCGTTTATGTTCGCAGTATATTTTCATGGGCAGTATAAAGGTTCTGATGGTCTAATAGACAAATTTGACGAAATGAGGATCTTTACAATTCGTTCAGACGAAAGTCTTGAGAAAACTCTAAATGACTTTCAAACTCAAATGAACAAATACTACTGGGAATTTCAAGAAAAATACGACTCTTTACTAAATGGAACATACTATCTGAAACTAGAATATGACAAGATGAACTCCACCGTTTCATTTCAAAAGATTGAATTAACCCTCAAGAGATACAGAGTTTTATATTGGGGAGTAGACAAACGTTCTTGGGCACAATTTCTTCGGTTACTAAACCAGAACGAACCATTACCACCAGATGGTCCATTTAAATTTATACTCCCACCAGCAGATTTGACAGTTTATAGAAACGTGTTTGACCCTCAAATGTCATGTGTCATGCAAGTTTCAGTTCAAGCAACAACAGTTTTCTTTGTATCGGTAAGGACTTTTATGACTTTGCTTCTAAATTCTACGAACCACCTAGTAACAGTTTCTCTGACTTTCAAGTTTGGTTCACAACAAATGGTATGCAGCATATAATACCATTGTACTATGACTTTTATCTCGAATTGTCTTTCATATACAACTACGGAAAAGTGCTGAAAAAGTATTGAAAAAGTATTGAAAAATGAGTTTTGGTTGAAAAAAGAGGTGGAGCCAAAAGTGGCTCGACTTCAAAACAAGCATTTTGTGAAGAATATACCAACCGCCGGAATTCCGGCGGTTGCTTTTTATACAAAATTCAACAGGTGAATTTTCATGAATTTCCTTAAGACAGAAAAATATATTTTAGGTGGAACCAGGTCACTCGGTCACTCGGTCCCCAGGTCAATTTAACTTCTCTGAAAAAATGAGACAACATGACATTTAGACAACAACACAGGAAATAAACTTCTTCGTATATGTTTTGTCATGAATTTCATCGTAAATGTTTTGTTGAGACTTCTTCGTCAATGTTTTGTCATGACTTCTTCATCGTCAATGTTTTGTCATGACTTCTTCTTCGTATTCTTTCACCCGTTGAATTTTGTATAAAAAGCAACCCGCGGAATTCCGCGGGTTGGTATATTCTTCACAAAATGCTTGTTTTGAGGTCGAACCACTTTTGGCTCCACCGTATTTTTCAACCAAAACTCATTTTTTTCGGCAAAAATATATTTTAGGTTAGATGGTGAGATCTCAGAACTAGTCTTATACTGTTTCAAGACAATATTTGTACTGTTTCAAGACAATGTCCGACGGTTAAGCCACAAACGAATGTCCGACGGTTAAGCCACAAACGAATGTCCGACGTACCACCCAAAAATATTTTTATTTTATTGTAAGAACTGAAATGACAGTCGAAGCAAAAACGTTCACGAACAAATCTAATGGGAAACATTCACAAAAGGCACTTACAACGGTATTGAAGTCTTACGTAGAGACAAGGATGGTTATATAAATGTAACAAATATGTGTCAGCAGTTTAGGAAGGACTTTAGAAAGTTGTTGGAAAATAAGTCCTGGGAAGAGTATTTTAAGGCATTTTGTGAAGAATATACCAACCCGCGAATTCCGGCGGTTGCTTTTTATACAAAGTTCATGCAGGAATTCCGGATGAAATCAAACAGGTTAGAGGAATGTATGTAGACCCAAGACTCGTAAACTATATAGCAATGTGGGCTTCTCCAAAATATTGTATAAGCAGTTGGAAAAAATTCTGGACTCCATAGACAAGAAAGTTCATGAGAAATTAGATGAAGAAGAACTTGAAGATACAGTAGAGAATGCAAACCTTTGTTCGAACAAGAAGTTAGAAAAATGTGCGAAAAACAAATAGAACATGAACGTGAGATATGTTCTGGTTATAGAGATTCTCCATACGAACTAGACCAATGGGAACAAGAAGATTTAAAGAGAGAATTTAGAGAATATGAACTCGCTAAGATAGCATTAGAAGCTGCAGAAAAGAAGTTAAAAGTTTGGGGTCGTTTTGTACAAAAATATTGTGAGTAAATGAACCATTTCTTTTTATTGAATTCGGCAAAAATATATTTTAGGTGGAACCAGGTCCCTCGGTCCCTCGGTCAACTAACATCTTTTTGAAAATGGTGACAACATGACATTTTGACAACAACACAGGAAATAGACTTCATCGTATATGTTTTGTCATGATTTCATCGTAAATGTTTTGTCATGACTTCTTCATCGTATTCTTTCACCCGTTGAATTTTGTATAAAAAAGCAACCGCCGGAATTCCGGCGGTTGGTATATTCTTCACAAAATGCTTGTTTTGAGGTCGAGCCACTTTTGGCTCCACCGTAGAAAACACACAAAACTCTTGAATTTTCCCGAAATAAAATATATTTTAGTTTTTTTTAAAAAATATTTTTTTATTTTTATTGTAAGAACATGTTAGCAACAACAGCACCAAACTCGTTAGTCATGAACCCAACTTCAATGTTAGTAGAGATGAAAAGCTTCATTCCTTCTTCATATACTTTCGAAACAGAAATCCAGAAGATAAAGCAAGAACTTCTCCAAGGAGATTTAGACTGTAGTGCGAAAGATGAAACAAATGAAGAATATCTTTATGAAATGCAGGATATTATTGACCATCTACCTAAACTTCCTAAAATACAACAACAAAAGCTTACTATTCCAGAATTCGATGAAATAGAAGTCAAAGCAACTGACTCAGTAGAAATAAAGAAGTTCATACGAAAGGTAAACTATGAGTTTCTTGGATTTCATTGCAACCACAAAGTCATGGATATTGACATATATAAATCTGGTGAGTTTAAGACCTACGACAACTTTGTTTCGTTAGTTGCAAAATGTGTATGGCAGATAAGAGATAAAGATAGAAGAGGTAAAGTATGGAACGGACAAATAAAACCAGCAACTTTTGAGTTAAAGAAAACCATTTACGCCTTAGTCATACTTGCAGGACAAATTTCAATGTACAATGCTAAAATGAACCCACAATGTTCTAAATGTAAAGCAGCAACAAGGAAATATAACTACTCCGTCAAAGAGATAGAACGTATGCGAAACGACTATGCTGACTTAAAGAAAGAAGTAGAGAAACCAGCAGAAGATAAAATGGACATGTTGACATTTCTGAACAAAAACTATCCAACTGCTGACGATTTCCTTCTATCTGACGTCAAGAAGAAATATAAAGAAACCTTCGGCATAGTTAAAACTTTTGATATCCTTCGTGAAGAAATAGAAGCTACAAAACTGTTTAAAGTCATGAACCATCACAACATATACCATGTAAAACGCTTGTGAAACTTTATGGTAGAAATATATTTTTGTCTGATTTACGCTCATTACGATGAAATCATGACAAAACATTTACGAAGAAGTCTATTTCCTGTGTTGTTGTCAAAATGTCATGTTGTCACACTTTTTCAGAGAAGTTCATTTAACCGAGTGACCGAGTGACCTGGTGACACCTAAAATATATTTTTGCTGAAAAAAAATGACCAAATTTCATGAATTTCCTCATATGTTTGCGACCCTCGGAAAACCGAGGGTCGAGATTCCGTACGAAAATCGTAAAAAAAACACATGAAAATCGTGAAAAATTGCGAGTAGGGAAAAAACCCCGGTCGCCAAAACTCTATGAAAACAGTGAAGAACAGCGAGTACGTAAAAAACCGTAGTCGCCTAAAACTCATGAAAATCGTAAAAATTTGCCATGCTGCTCTTCTGAGTTCGTCGGTATTTTGGAAGTGTTGCACCTTCGAGTCTTCTGACATGAAAAAATGACCAAATTTCATTATATAACTGTATTTTTTTGACGAAGAGAACTTTTGCACTTCGTAAAAAAAATCCCTGAAATCATATCTTTTATACAAGATAGAAAAATTAAAGTTAGTTTTATTTTTTTTTATTTTTTTATTTTGTATGTAAGAACAGAAAATGACAAACACTGAGTTTGAAACAGTTAAAAAGATAGACAATGAGACCAAGGTGGTTAGAATAGGTGATTTAAACGTAAGATACTCAAAGAAATACAAAAAATATTCTTTGTCAGACATTTTAACACTATCTGGAAAGAAAACATCCCACGACTGGGTTAGAAATGCTTCAACTCAGAAAATTTTGACAAAAAATCCTGAGCTTATGATATCGGTAAGATTCTATGGAACAAGAGCATATCTCATCGACAAAAGTCTTATACCAGTAGTTTTGTTCTGGATTGACCCAGTTGTTGGATATAATTTCATAACATATGGTTCATTCGATACGGAACGTTGCAGTGAAGGCTTACTTTACATCGTTCAGAAACCGAAGGACTTCAATACAAAGAGATATAAGATAGGAAGAACATTTAATATAACTCAAAGATATGACAGTATAGTCAATAGAGTCAAGGTTGCGTTTGTTAACGATATGAGAGCTGCTGAAACAGAACTACTTGAAAAGTTTGAGAAATTGTATGGTGCTCCCACGAAAGGTAAAGAAACGTTTGAAGTAGATGAGATCGACAAAGCTATAAAATTATTTGACGAAGTTGCTGAAAAATACATGTAAAGCGTTTATTTTTGGTCTTTTGTGAAAGCCAGAAAATAACGCTAATTTTATTTTTATTTTATTTTTTATTTTGTATGTAAGAACAGAAATGTCAACAACAGAGAACACAACAACTGCTATCGTTCATGAAGCCATAAGTGAAGAATACGAGTGGGTTCAGTATAACAAACAGTTACGTCTCATTCGTTCGGTCAAAGATGACATGTACCAAATGCAAAGTATTTTGACAGCATGTTTTGCTCCAGATACCAAGCTTCCTAAAGACTGGTTTAGGAACCAAAGCACTATTGAACTATTAAATGAAGCACAGCGAGACATACTTTTTTCTGAAAATCGTGAAGAACAGCGAGTGGGAGAAAAAACCCAGTCGCCAAAACTCTATGAAAATCGTGAAAAATTGCCAAATGGTTTGAGAGGTTGGTATGTACATAGACTTCTCGTAAATAATGTGGCACAATGGGCTTCAGCTCGCTATTCATGGTATGTTTGTAAACTTCTTGACGAACTTCACAGACAAGAACGTGAAGAGCTAGAGAACAAGCTTGAAGCAAAAGACAAAAACATACAGAAAAGAATACCACGTTCGGTACCAAAAGGAAAGGAAAAGAACTATAAGTATATGATTTACACTGAAGAGATGGAAAATGAAGAAGACAGAGATATGGTTATGTTGCATTTAGTCAGAAGAAACAACAAAAGCTTTTACGACCTTGCTAAGATTTACAAATCTGACAGAAATTGGTTCTATCGCGAAAACTTACCGATTTCAATGACACCAAATGAAGATGTTAAACAGATAGTTCAAGATACGTTACCTCAAACACACTATGATATGAAAGGTTGTACAATACTTACATTCAAAGAAGATTTACCGCTACTGAAAGAAAAAATAACAGAGTATTTTGACAACTTCAAAGAGGAAGAGTAAATGAACCATATATTTTTCAAGCTTGACACCAAAGATGGCTCAGGTAGCTCTATAAGGTAAATTGTCTTGTCAAATCCTTCTGGCATTCCGAGTCCTTCCATCCGACAGGAAAAAAATTTCCCGACAACTGGAAAAAAATTTCCTTCCAACAGGAAAAAAATTTCCTTCCAACTGGAAAAAATTTTCCTTCCGACAGGAAAAATTTTTCCTGTTGTTCGTCCGTAAACCATTCAAATTTTCGAAAATTGAGAACTTTTTGGCCGACCTTCAGAAAAAGTTTTTCCTTCCGACAGAAAAAGTTTTTTCTTCCGACAGGAAAAAAATTTCCGGACAACTGGAAAAGTTCTTCCTTCCGACAGGACACAAACGGATGACTGGAAGAACTCTTCCTTCCGACAGGACACAAACGGATGGCTGACATTCCTCTTCCTGAATGCCTTCCAAAGCCAGAAGAACCGACAGCCCCAGCACCACAACAGACTAAGACAAACACTTACATTTTTCAAGCTTGTCTTGAAACAATTTGAACTTTGTTTGCGTAGATATGAATTCTGAAAGAAGTATGAGGGTCTTGTATGACTTTGTACTTCTCCCATAGTTCATGTCTGTCAAACTTACCTGCCATGGACTCTTTCATAAGTTCCATGAAATCGTCTTCGGACAATCCGGGGAAAAGTATAATATCAGTAAGTATTCTCTTTACATCCTTACTTAAACTCTTGGCTGTCTGTACACAAATGACAACTGAAATGTTAAAGTGTCTGAGCTTCTTAAGAATTCGACACATGTCTTGTTCTCTGTTCTTTAACAAAGGATGAGAAGCAAAGTCATCTAAGATAAAGACATCTGTGAGGGTAAGTCTTCCAATCGTAAGATTGCAATTTCTTCAAATGTATTCTATCTCTTTCTGTTTGTTTCTGAAGTGTTTCTTCTCTAATATTCTCTGCATTTCCTCATTTGGGTCTTTAAACTTAGAATTTATATACTCATTTATAGCATTGTACTTCAAAACTCTTCTTTGGTACTTCTTTATCCAATCTAACAACTCAGAGTCTTTTATACATACTAACTTAGACTTTTTTATAATATCTTTGAACGAATTTACGGTTGGTCAAATTGACCAGAAGTACTACAAATGACTACTAACTCATAGAATGGTTCTTCTCATCTAGTTCTTGTTGTTGTGCAGCCATTTTAAGATAAGTGAAAGTCTTACCCGACCCAGGTGGTGCAATATTAGACCTGTTATACCATTCTGAGCAAATAGGAACTTGTCATGTATGGGTTTTATCTGAGCATTTTCCAACTTCCTCTGTTCTTATTTAAAAACATTCTCAAATTTCTTGTCAATGTCAGCAAACTTTTTTTCTAACATATTTTTAGAAAATTAAAAATTTTTATCTTTTAGAAAATGTCTAGCGATTTCGCCATCTATATTCGAGACAAGCTTTTCGACAGCAAAACATCTGTCGACCATAAAATCTTACATAGTGTAAACAAGAAAGGTGAATTTGTTCTAAAGTTCTGTTTCTGGGAATATGACAAGAACCATAAAACATTAAGCAGAGCAGTCTTAAAATTTGTCAATGACAGACTTGTTGACAGAGATGACGCCTCTTGGAGAGATGAAGTCCAACAAAACTTCTTAGAATGCAAAGAAGACACATGCGCTGTTCTTGAAGATGAAATAGAAAACAGAATAGAAGAGCTATTAAAGGACAAAGACCTTTTACAAAAATATGGTTCTGAGAAGTTTGATATAACTCCACCAGAAAAAGAAGAGAGAAAAGAAAGAAAAGAAAGTAGAAGAAAGAAGAAAGAACCAGAGCCATTCCAGAGAAGGGGAGATATGACATGTAAAAATAAAATTTTATTTTTAGAACATTTCTGGGTCAATGTCAATGTTCTCTTCCTCTTTAGGAGCAAACACTGCTTAGACTCTAAAATCTTTTTACCCAATTTACCTTGAACTTCAACTATCTTTAGACTCATAATATTCATAGTCGTCTGCTTTCTTTGTTTCATAAGGTATAACAAGTTTGTATGCTTTGCCTTCTTTAAGGCTTGAAAACCTTCTGTCAAAACTTTCTTTGACTGTTAACAAACCTTCTATGTCTAAGTCTTCAAATTTCGCACCATTTTTAGTCACAATAGCAAACTTAACTGTTCGATGTTCCAAACTTTGTCAAATGTAGACTTTTCAAAATTGGTAGAAGTAAACATTCAAATATGCGAATGGGTCTAGTTCTTCTTTAAGTCCTGACATGTACTTGTTGACTGAGATGAATTTTGTCATCTTTTCTATCGGATAAAAAAAAATTTTTTTTTAAAATTTACTCAGAAAATTTTTCTTTGTATATACACCATTCTGTACGTCTAAAAGACTTTTGACATTTGCCAAGAATGTTCGTTTAGACGCTGCATATAACCATACTCTTGACAATACTGTTTATACGAATCGTACAATGACCTTTCATCTAAACACTCAAAGTCAGTTTCATCTATGAACAGTTCATATACACTCTTGTTTGCTTCTAACAATGTTTGTCTCTCTTCGGTATGTGGAATTTGTCTTGGATTGAACTTAGAAATATCTAATGTCATGAAATATGAGAACAAGTGTTGTGAAAAGTTATGTCAAAGTTTCTGCTAAGTCGTCAAAATATTCTGTATCTTGCATATGAGATCTGACGTTCTGACAACTACATATCTTCTGTCAGAACTTTCTAACTCATCGGAACGGCGTTGTTTGAAACCATGACGAAGTTTGCAACATTTTCACAAACTCTTTTGGTCTCTATACTTTTTTCAACAACTCCAACTTTGTCTGTTATAAGACTCTTCAAAGCATCTGAGTTCAAAACTTTGTTGTATCTATACTTTGAAGTTCGTTACATACTATAAGTTTCATATTCTCTATTGAAGAGTTAAACTTTACCGCAGATGTTTTCTAAGTTTGTCATATTCGGGTTCGAATAGCCTCTAACAGTTTGCACAAATATCTGTAAAGAAAGTGTTCTTACCTGTTCCTTGTTTTCCAATTACAATGAGAGCAGTTTCATTTTTAGCACTTGGATGTTGTAAGATTTTGCAAACCAACATAAGATATACTCATAGACTCTTTCGTTCCATTGCATATAATTTCTTTGACATGGTCTAACCAAGCTTCGATAACATTTTCTTTCCATTCTACTTGTTCGTATATTTATATCCAGTGAAGATAGAATAGAAGTTTGGAGAAGGTGTATAGAACTTTATACCACGAACTGAAAAATCTTCAAGTTTGACAATAAGATATCCCAAGCATCTAACATCTTCATGCCAACTTGTACGACTTTATTTTCTTAAGTTTCTGTTTACATTCTTGTTTCTGAAACTATTGTCGCTTTAGGTTTGTTAAAGACTACATCCCATTCTTTCATGACATAACATTCTGGGCAGAGTCAACATAAATGACTAAACGTTTCAAATTCTCGACTGCTTTGTTATAGTCTCTAAATGGACACATATTTCTGAAGGCTTGGAAGTCATAAAAATCTGAAACGTCTATTCTGTACATTTTTATAAAAATAAAAAAAAATATTTTTTTATTCTTGACTTTGTTGTGCATTTGTTCCATTTGTTGCATTTGTTGTTCTTGAGCTATTTGTTGTTGAAGTTGTTCTTGTAGTACAATACTTTCACCAGTTGCATCTTCCAATTCGAAACTTTCTGCCGTCATTGACAAATACATAGGACATAAAAAGTTTACAGGAACAAAGTTTGCGTCAACTAAGGTTAAGTTTATGTTTTGCTAAAGTGTTTGAGTTTACTAAAGCTTGAAAACTCTGCATTCGAATGAACAATAGGCAAACCAGCAGAGAATGTGTTGTTTATACGCATAAGTATCTTTTGGTCATAGTAGTTTCTGTCGACATTCGAATAGCACTTTGAACCTAAGTTTGAAACAATATATAAAATAGGTGTACTTAAAGTCAATGGAACAGACAAACCTTGTATGACACCTTTTCCTGTTATAGGAAACTGTTGGTAGTAAAAACCAGATATAAGTTTTGTATTATAGCTCATATCGTTTATAGTAAACTCAGTCGGACATCCAAACATAATGAAACCTGCTCTAGTTGCAGCACATGTTACATCCGTCCTTAAAGTATTAAATAAGTCAACAAAACCTGTTGGTGGTATATCTGAGTAAGTATCTTCAAAGGAGTATTTTTTACCATTCACAACAACAAAGTCTTCTGGTGTCAAAAGAGCAAAACAGGCTTTAGTCGTCATTGTGTTTAAGGTTAGTTTACAATATCGTCCTTGAGGACTTTGTAAGTTTGTTGTTATAGAATTATATGACTCAGGGTTTTTAGTCGTAATAGTATAAACCACTATGTCTTCTGCCATTTACTTAGCAACTAAATTTTAATGAAATGTTGTGGTCGTCAAATATTTTTATAACGTCTGGGAAACTATATTTTAAGTTCAACGTTTCACCTCCTTTCATAACGTATATCTTGTCAATGACATTATATGAAACACCACAGCAAGCAATGTCGGGTTCTATTTCTTTGATGTTTATATCGTCTGCCTCTGTCAAAAGTTTCAATAGTTCTTTCAAAACTTCATGAGGTGCAATGACATATGAGTTCACTTTTACAGGGTTGTGTTCGACCAAGTTTAACATTATACCTAAAGCTTGACAAATCTTCTCCTGAGTTTTAAGTTTGTCTTTCAGTTGTTGGTAGTCGTTTCGAATATCTGCAACAGAACTTAAGTCTCTGCTAACTTCAGGATATGTTGGTTGTTCTTTTACAGGAACTATTGTTATACCATCTTCGTCTTCGTATGGTTTCCCCACTTCAACATCTCTTTCTTTGACATTGACAACAACACTTTGACTGTTTGTTTGAGTTGGTGAATTTAACTTCACATCTGCCACCGCCATTAAACCTTTTGAAACACTTACGCTTCTATTTTTCGGAAATGACATTTTACTTAGAATAAAAAGATGGACGTATTTGAGTATCTCTTCGAATTGAAGCAAAACAAAGTTTACACACACAAACAATACAAGTTCATTGACAGAATAGTTCTTTATACAAACAATGGAAAATGTTATAGAATAGCAGTCTTTGCTGAACCAAAATATTTTCATAAAGCAAAGAAAGTTGGTATAACCGAAATGGTGAAAGTTCTTGAAGCAGACAAAAATATAACAACAAAACTGACCGATATTTCTAAAGGTAAGTTTATAATACAATATTATATCAAAACTGGCGTACTGTCAATATTTGACGGAGAGAAGTCAGTTCAAGAACAACTTACTGACCTGCTGCCAAAATCTGCTCGATGGAAGCTGTCGTTATACCAATCTGAGGAGCCCCAGCAGGTTTCATCGAACGAATCTTCAAAAGAGCATCTTCCGTGAAAAGTGCTATTGGTTTTGTAAACTTCTTTGCTTTCAATTCATCTGGACCGTCTCTGTCACCAGTATATTGTATTTGAACTGTACCAACAGTTGAAATACCACCCATAA